CTCAGAAGTCTGATAGCTATAGTTGAGGTAACAGATTTTTCTGAAGGAGAAAAGAAGCACTGTAAAGCTGTCAGAATGCCTGGTGACTTCAGCTCACAAAGGATGTTGTTGTGATGGCCTTTGTATTTCATAGTAAAAGAATATTTTAAAGAGATTGTTGCCAGGGAGAGAGAGATGTGGCTTGTAGATGTGCCTACAACATTGAGGGGGAGAAGGAGGAGGGCAGAGGTGGATGGCAGAGGCAGGACACATCAGCTGTGCTGGGTGAAAAAACGTAATAACCTTTATTGCCCAACAGCTGATTAAGCAGTTGGCCTGATCTTGAATAAGAAATAGGGTAGGAAATGGGCCATGAGACACTTGCTCTGAAAAGCAGGTAGCTTATATTTATGTAGAGTAGGAGGCAGAAAAGATGCAAAAAGGCTTGCAATTGAAATGGCATTAAGAAAATAGTCAAGGTATGTATGTCCTGAAGTGCTACGAGTAAGGGGAAAACGCTGTGCTCCAATCCAGAGGTAAAGGGGCTCTGCAGTAATGAAGACCAAGCCAGACAGAACCGAGTTTCTACACTAATGTCAGCTGTGCAGATGAATACAAACTCTGAAAGACACTGCAGGGTTTAGCTCTAGCCTCTATCTTGTAAGTGTTCAAAGTCAAAAATTCTGTTCAAGTTATGAGTTAGAGACATGTGGCACTGGTGATAAACGGTCCATGGTGATAAAGGTAGTTGTGGAAGGCTCTGGGGGGGAAAAGTGAGCTCTGTTTTAGTTCCCCTTAGCTTGAGTTGACATTTCAGCATTGACAAAGGTGTCAGACTGAGGCTGTCCTTTAAACAGAAGGAGACAGACCTTGAGCAGAGACACAGATCTGAGTAGTCAGTGCAGTGATGGGAGCTGAACTTGTTTTGCAGGTGGAATTCCAGAGATAAGATACTGAGGGAGGAGAGAGCTGAGAGTGCAGCCTTGGTGAAAATGAAGAAGATCCACTATGGGTATGATGTAAAAAGATAAGATGAGAAGGTGGTTTAGTAGTGTCCCGTACTATTTTAAGAATAAGAGTTGTCTGAAAATGAAGATGGAGCACTTGACAAGGAATTAGTTATTGGTTTTGGAAGTATTTTAGCTGGAATAGAGAGGCTGAAAATTTAGAAGTAGGTAGAAGTTGATATAGTTGGAGTAAAGCAACAGTAGAGATGAAACTAAAAGCAGATGAGGAAACAATCTATTTAACCATCTTAACAGGATATGGGAGAAAAATAAAAGCATGTTGGGGTTGAGATGAAGAACTAAAGGAACTTGAGGCTAGAAGAGGTATTCAAAGGGAAGTGTTGGGGCTAAGAGCTGTTGGACAAGGAGATGGGATCACTGAGGACCTGTGGAAGAAGAGTAGAAAAATATATGGTTATCTTTGCCCTGCCTAGCTTGTGGATTTACTCCTCCTCAAGCTCCCTTCTCTCCCCCATCCTTCTCCTGTGATAGGGTTTTTCTCCTCTTGAAAGGAATTGAGGCTGGGAAAACTTGAGGAAAGGAGCAGTGGATAAATATGACTGGAACGTCACTGGAAACTCACTTTTTTTTTTAGTCTGAAAGAAATATTTGCTAGATGGAGAAACTGGGAAAAACAACAACAAAAGAAAGGATGTAAGACTTCCAAAAAGAAAGAGAAGGAAAGGAACCAGAGATGATGATCCACGTGGATTTTGTTGCGGCAGGAGTGCAGGAGTCTGGGATAGTGGGAACTGCCACCATATCGGTGACAGTATAGGAGTAGAGGGGCCAGAAGAAGAGGGGCCAAATACCAAATGTTGTGACCTCTCTCCCATTTCCAAACCATCGCGTTGGGATTTGAAGAGCTTATGTCTTATGCTACAAGATAGCAGAGGAAAGAAGCAGTCATACAAAGTGAATGATCTTTTTATGCTGGAAGGGAGAAAAGTTCATGAAATAGTGAGCAAAGAAAAGCAGGAAGTTGAGATAACACATAGGACACGTGACAATTGAACTTGGTGGAAATATCTGTGCAAAATAGTTCCCCGCCGCTTCCTAGACCACAGGGAAAAGCTGGCATTTTGATTTGCTTTTACTGGTAAGTTAGAATAGCAACTTCTTTAGAATAACCAGGTCTGTGCTACTCTCACCCTGTTTGTGGCAGGGGGATTTCTGTGTTATGCATAGGCGTAGGACAGTTTATCTGTTGCAGGCATCCTTTAGGTCCTTGTGGCGTGGTTGAAGGATAAAATCTTTCCTGGAACTATCTGGAGTTAATCCCTTAGTATCAGGCTGTAATTAGCAGTTTGCATTCCTGTGATTTACACCCCAAAAGGGAGGATGTCAAGGCTTTGAGATAAGGCCTGCCTGGGCCTCAGGACCCTCCAGCCCAGGGCTTGAGGGACAAAAGCTTCCTGTCATTTCTGGGATAGTGTTAATTGTTGTGGTCTGGACTATCTCCTTGTCCACAAAGCCAGGACCCAGGAAAGAAGAAGATCCCAGACCCCACTATAACTATTGATCCAAACCATTGCCTGAAGGGTTGGGGAATTTAGATTGTAAGGGTGTAATTGCCCAGGGATTTTTTCATTTAGGGTCCATCTTCGGAAGCACTCAGCTGGAGCTGTGATTAGTGCATGTGTGTCATTAAAACTTATCTTGGTCTGAATTTGACTTCAAACTTCTGCTCCAGCAGGAACCTAAGGTCAGGTTCTGTTCTGGTGCCTGTCGAACAAAAGTTTCCCTAACAACAAGCAGACAATGTCTGTATAGACTTTTTTCTTCCTACACAAACGCTGAGGGCATCTTACTTGTTTTATACTTGTAAGGGAGGCTTGTTCTGTGGTTTGGACTCAAAACAATATATATTTTTTTTCCTGTTCCACTCTATTAGCAAGAAAAAGTACATAAAGCACAGCAGCTGCAAGTTCGTATCATTGAATTGCTGGAAGCCTTTGTAGGTTCCAAATAAATATTGGGGAAGAGTTTAACAAAAGAATATTTTTTGGCCCATAGTCAGTTACGTACAAAAGAAGAAGCTCTTATGAAACCTTTTGTTGAAAATCTCTCTCCCTTAGGGTGTTTTTTGCTTGTTTGAAATGAGAGCGATGATGACAAGGTAGTCCGGAGGATCAGGGACAACCTGACAGGACTGAGGAGGTAGGTAGTGAGCTCCAGAAGAGGAAAGCTAGGACTCTGCATGGCAAAATGAATGAATAGTAATTTCTTCCGGTTTTGTAATTAAACTGCTATGCTTATTTTTTCCGCCACTGCAGTATTGCACGTTCATCCCATGGCCCCTGGGCACGTGCGCTGCCTTGTCCTTGCTTGCCTTGCTGAGAGCAGTTCTTAGGAAGCGGTGCCCGTGCCGGTTGTCCGGTTCGCACAGCGGGCCAGAGTCTTCATCTTTCATTTGCTCTGTCCCCTCAGTGCCCAAACCAGCGGCCCTAAACCCTTGCGTGCAGCCCGGCTCGCAGGGCTGGCTCTTGCTGCCCGCTGCGCTCGCAGCCCTGTGCAGCAGTTGGCCGTCCAAGCTGCCCCGTGTACTCGGTAGGCGCAGGGCACGGGAGGAGGCAAGAAACAGGCACAGCTCGTGAGCTTTGTTTTCTGGAGACACCAGGCTTCAAGTTGCATGGTAAAAGGTGGTTTCTAAATTTAGCTCTAGAGCGTAGGCTCTGCTTAACTTTAAGCTCTGATTAAAAATAACCTGGTGTATGGCAAATCTACACCTTAGGATGGTCTAATTGCTTAAAATGAGCAGGTGGATGTCACTGACTAAAAGCATAAAACTTTTAAGTTTTGTTTTTATTTTTTAAGTGTCTTTAGCTGGAATGTTTTTCAAGATTATTCATCATCTTTAAGAGTTAGTTTATTTAAAGCTAAAAATAACTGACATACAGAAGAAGTGGGAAAGCTTGATCCTTCCTAGGATCTAGGAAGGAAACCCTGGAAATATTACATATCGTAGTTCAGAAATGTAGAATCATGTGCTAAGTAGTGTACTAACATCACATCTGTATCATGTCTTGTTTTTTATTCGAACATGCTTTCCATTTGACTTAGCAGATGCTAAATGTGCGCACCCACTTACAGTGCTTCTTTTTTCCTCGATAATTTTACATTTGTATGGAGCTTGACAGAAACAATGAGAAACTTTCTTTTGTGACGTTCAAGTTCACTTTTCATTTTCTAACAGAAATTTGTATAAATGTAAAGATATATTGTTGCTTAAATCTGAATAGTGTTTCTGCAGTTTAAAAAGAAAAAAAAAAAGTACCAGATAAAAATAATGTGTTTGACAGGTTTTTACAAGGGTGAATTTTGCTTATTCTGTAGGAAAATTACTGCTACAATCACAGCATTAACCTTTGTTGTTTTAACTTTGGGAGTGGTGGTTTGTTTGCTCTTTGACCATGCTTTGCCTTGTGGTGGAAAAGATGGAAAGCTCTAACGTTTTTGAACTAAAGCTGTATTCTTACTTACGAGGTCTTAGACGTGAAGCCCTTGAAGCATGCACGTGGCATAGCTAAGAGATGTAGAAGTTTAGTCCTTAGTTTTGTGGAGATGAGCTTTTGTCCCACCTCCAGATGAAGAAAAACAGAAGAGACTGAGGACGAGATGCGAGCCAGAAGGGAAACTGACTAATAGTTGGATCTGAGATGTTAGTTCTTCCAGTGGGATTTATTTACTATGGTCTCTGGCAGCTAGTAGAAAACAGTTTAACCTCATCGTTGGTGCTGTAGAACTGGCTTCCATCAGCTGCTTTAGAGGAAACATCTGTGGTTGGAAAACATCCTGTAGCAGAAGGTGTAAGCAAAAGGAAGTGAACCAGCCTGCTTGTAGACTTGTCTTGTTTTACAGGTATAATGCGATACCTGTGCACAACCTTGTCGTGAGAGTGATGATGTCCTTTCTTTATTCACCTTACAAACGTGAACAATATGAGCAGTTACCTCTGTAACTTTCTGATCCTCAAGCAGCGTTAATACCTTTTGTTCTCCTTCCCACAGTGACCGTATCAGCAGTAGAGGTCAAGACTCCAGAGGAGATGTTTGTTGAGAATGGGACAGATGCAAAGCTTCCATGCACGTTTACATCCATAGAAGTGATCAGCAGTGCAGCATCTGTTTCTTGGAGCTTTCAACCAGAGGGAGCAGCAACTCCTATCTCAGTAAGGAACTGCAATGGGGGAACAATCCTGGGAGAAGAGGCTGTGATAGATGTGGAGAGACCTCCTGTTTGCTTGTGAAGACAAGAAAATATGGATTGGAGTAGTCTTCCACATGTTTTGTTTACACCACTCTGATATTAGGAGGGCTTTTCTGGAGATATTTAAAGATATTACAATATGCTGGGTACTATTGCAGTCTTCTGCATGGGTCAGAGGGTGCAACAACTACTAGAGTTATCTAGTAGTTCCTTAGTCAGAGAAGAGGGGTGTTGGTGTAGTAGCCATGTAGAAAGTAGATGAGTGTCTAGGAATCTTCTCCTAAATCCTGTATCCTCTTTGTATTTGAAAATGTACTGTAGAGGCAGGCACAGAGGGATAGCTGCCACAGAATTTGAATTACCACTGTTACAGTTGTGTTGTGCAGATTTTTTTCCCTTGTCCTGTTTCACCTCACTTTAAAAGGATTTGCAATGAGACCAATCTCTAGTTTCAGAAGAGATTTTGGTTGTTCAAAATCATAAGGAGGCTCTTCTGTGTATGCAGTTACTTGAAAAGTCAAAAATCAGATTAGCAAGCAGCTCGGGCCAAGAATAACAAATCTGTCATAGAATCATAGAATGCTTATGGGCCAAGAATAACAAATCTGTCATAACAGATTTGCTGTGTGTTGAGCCCAAGTACACTCAAATCCTTTGGGTCAGAACCTTCAAATGTTTGTGGTATGTTGCTCCTTCTCTTTCTCCTCTGTGACATGAGGCTTGGACAGCTGAATGTGAGCTCTGTTTCGTTTCTGCTTCCCCTTTGCTCCCCTACCATGAGACAGAATTTAGAGGAACCAGAACAGGGAACTCTAGGGCAGAGGAATGGGGGGCAGCAGGTTCCCCTGACTCCAAAACAGCACTTAAACATGTTGCTCAACATAGAGAGTTATGAAAAAACCTTGTCGAGGAGGGGGAAGATGGGTTTTGAAAAGGGAGTTTTGTTCTTTCGGGAAAGCCAAAAGTGATATCTGGGCAAAAGCTTAAGGAAGTAGGGCATATTTTCTGTCACTGGTGAATACACAGGCGAAGAAAAGATATCTGTACTTTTTCCCTCTCTGTAAAAATATCATCCACGTAGCCTATTTTTCCCAACTCTTTCTGTAGCACTGTCTGAACCCCTACATTATAGAACCTTAACTACAACTTCAGGCTAAGGTATACTCCCTTGTCCTACCAGTTGGGTGCCTCTCCTCATGCCCAGGGATGTGGCAGTGCAGCACATCTTTTATCAGATGAAACAGCTTGTAGGATTATGCCTGCCTGTGGACAAGAAACAAATGTCAGATTGGTTGAAACATGATGAATAGAGTCATGTGCACATACCTGATCTGGATCAGGCTTGTTCTGCCAACTGATCAGGACAGAATGCAGGTCTGATATAGGTGGTGGTGTGGAATGACAAGCCTCAGATCAAGAGTATGAATGGGAAGAGAGATGGGAGATGACTTGGAAAGAAAGAGGGCTCTTATGAGGTCTGTCTGTTCTGTAACAGGGACTTTTTCCTGCAGCCTTCATTTTGAAGAGGAACCTGGAATATAGTCTGAAGTTTCTTTAAGCATACTGAAAGGAATCTTAAGGTTACCTCACTCTCTTTCAGAATATGAAATAAGAAATAAAGCACTCCTGCAATGCAGTCTTGACTCCCTCTCTTGGGATTGCAACCAGGGGTTAAACATCCTGTGTGCTCCAAAGCAGACTTTTCTCCCATAGAGTGCTCTGTCTATGCTCTTTTCTGCTGTAAATGCTAGTTTTAGCTGGTTATAGCAAGTCAAGAAGCAATTTCTGCTCAAAGACTACAGAACAATTCTTTCATTGAGGGGGTTTGTTCAGGCCTAGGGAACACAGGAACAATGTAACTGAGACACTTAAAAATCAAGAAATGTTTGGTCATTTAGCGACTTCCAAGGTTTTTTGAATACACCTACATACCCCTTAAATTACTGTTTGTTTGTTTGTTTTCCTTTTCCTAGGATAAGGAGAAGAATTGTGTTTCATTGTTAAATTAGCTATCCTGTAGTTGCCATTCACACACAGCAAAACACTAGATAGGAAGTGTTTATATCCTTTTGTCACTAGGATGAAGAGAGCTTCCTCTGCCGAAAAGGCAGATGGCTGCAATCCAGAGTACATCTCCGCTTTACTTACTCCCAGATTACCTAGCCTTTTTCTCCTTTCCTCTTCCTGTTTACCAGCTCTCCTCCACCTGCCAAGAACAACTTCACCTCTCTCCCCCCACCCTGAGAAAACAAACAAGGAAAACTGGAAAACAAAACAAAACAAAAAAACCCCAACCCCCCAAAACTTACAAGTTACTATGATAGTATAATTAAGGTATAAGCCTTAGCGTGGTTATTTGTCTAACCAAGAATCTTAGTGTTTGAATGCAAAGGTGCTAGACTGGAGTGGTGAGACAAGAGCAAACATCAAATGCTAGCCCTGTGTACATGGTGGGTTGGGGGAGAAAGGTGTGATAGTTCGAGAAGTATGCTAGCTATATAATGCCTAATTAGATTGCTTTTATATTCCCTTCTCTTTTACTACAGTTTTTCTATTACGTGAATGGAAAGTCATACCCTGGAAAGGATATACCATTTAAAGACAGGATCACTTGGGCTGGAGATCTTAACAAGAAAGATGCTTCTATCAATATAGCAAACATGCAGTTCCGAGACAACGGCACTTACATTTGTGATGTGAAGAACCCCCCTGACATCGTTGTCAGGCCAGGTGAAATCCGACTTAGAGTTGTGGAGAAAGGTATTCATCATTCTACGTGATTTGTGTGTGTGTGTTGCTTTCCTTGGGATGGGAGTGAACTGGAAGAAACAACTGTCTCTTTATTTATTTTTTTTTTCAGATATTAATAGTCCAACTGATGTTCTGTCAGCTATGTAAAACATGGAATGGCTTGCCCTTCTTCCCTCTATTTCCAGAAATTCATAAACTTTAACCAGTACTAACAGGAGCAGAAGTCTGAAAATCAATCCCAGTTCTCCTTTCTGACTGTCACAGACTTTTCAGATTGCTAAGGGAGAGCAGTTATAGGTGACTGGTTTGGCCCTTCTTGGGGGTGGGGGGTACAGGAAAAGGTCCCCAACTCCCTGAGCACTGGAGATTGTTAGGAGATAGGCTTTTAAAAAATAAATAAATTAATTTTTTTGGTTAGGAGGATTATGAAGACCTGCTAGACTTTTGATTGCCATTGTGCGGAAAATCTCGCTGTCAAGAACTGAATGTCCAAAAGGAGACAGAGGAGTCCTAAAACTTTATTCGAATAAAGGGAGAGTCCACCGGGCATATCCCTGGGGGGTCTCTCCAATTGCTGGGGGACGCAGCCCCCCTTTTATCCTAATTTCCCGACCGAGGGACGCCCTCTCCTTTTCCCCATTGGCCAAGGTACTCAGAAGTTACAGCCTTCCCGGCCGCCTACACCGAACTCCGGCCTCCTGCCATCTGTTCTCACCTGAGCTCACCAACTCCTTTGTCCCCCTTGCTGAAGAATGTGGGGGAATTGCCCTATTTGCCTCCTTTGTAAAGGCCCCCATCTCCTTGCAGATGGCTCTTTTTATCCTTCTCAGCTCATGGCTCCACTCAGTCTCCCCTCCCTTTGTCCTGCTCTTCAGCCAAACTGTGGAGAAACCCCCTTATTGATGAATACAGAAACTTGAGCATTCCGCTCACCATTCTAACCAAAGAAGCTAGGACCATGTCATCCAGCCATTAAAAAGCTTGAATAAAATAACTGTGTGCAATATGTGTGCGTGTGTGGTGGGTTTTTTTTTCTTTTTCTTTTTTTTTTTCCCTTTTTAACAGACCTTCAAATCACTGCTGTGTAAAACAGGAAATAAAACAGACTTTTCCTTTTTCTTGAAGTACAGGAATATTAATAAATCATGTCTGTTCTGTGGGGTAACAAATATTACCATAAAGTAGATTACATGCAAAACTTTCTTCTCTATCTTCTGACCCATTGCAATATTCATAAGAATTTAAAAAACTTTGTTTCTGATCAAATCACTAACATGCACCTATTAAAACTGAGCTGGGAGCAACAGCTGAATGAACTGATTCTGATGAAATGGAGTGTGCACTTAGCAGCCTTTCGTTTACTCAGGCTTTATTTCAGTATGCATACAGACCCTTAAACTGCGAGGACTGGCTACTTCTAGTCACTTAGGACTTCTGATTAGAATTTAATAGCAGTTTCCACAGTTCAAGAGCACTTCTCTTTCTTATGTCAAATTGGCTATTCATTTTCTCAGGCTAGCCAAAACCTCTGGTTGCTCTAGGTGAGGAGGAGATCAGCCAAGTTGTGTCTATTCCTGTAGTAAAATCACAGAATCCTTAAGGTTGGAAGGGACCTCTAGAGCTCATCTAGTCCAACCCCCCTGCACACGCAGGGTCACCTAGAACACGTGGCACAGGACTGCGTCCAAGTGGGTTTTGAAGATCTCCAGAGAAGGAGACTCCACAACCTCTCTGGGCAGCCTGTTCCAGTGCTCTGTCACTCTCACTGTTAAGGAAAAAATTCTTAACTTCTTGTGGAACTTTTGATGCTTTAGTTTCTGGCCATTTCCTCTAGTTCTGTCGGTGGCCACCAGTGAAAAGAGGCCAGCACCATCCTCCTCATTGCCTCCCTTGAGGTACTTATAGACACCGATCAAGTTATAGCTTCCTTACTGCAGTTATAGGCACTTAGGTCTCTATGGCCCATCATTCCTACACTGTTGATGAAATACTTGTAGGAGCAATCCTAGTTTTGATGGTCTCAACAGGCAGCAGCAGCAGACCATGTCCAACGCATCCCTCCACTGACATCTGCTAGAACATCCACATCTTGTATTTGGTTGCCATGTGAAGAATTCATGGACATCCTTAGCATGGAAGCGAAGCCACTGCACCCCATTAGCAGGCCTTGGTGCAGCCTAGAAGGAGAACCTGCAAGGATGAAGGTGGCACCTGAGACAGGGAATCAAAGAACAGACTGCCTGACCACCTGCACACCAGCAACCCACCACGGCCTTATCCTCTCTGAAACCTTACGTGTGTACAGCTATAAATGCCCAGGCAACATGTGCGGGTGTTGCTGTTCCCATCATACATTGACACAGAGCAGCATCAGCTGCGAACAAGATAACTGAACAAAGTCCTACCAACCAATCCTGACATCTCTCAGAGGCAGCCCCGGGCTTCTCAAAGCAGCCTACATCACATCCTGCTGTTTCACAGGAGGGCAGGATGGTTTCACTTCACCCTCCATCCTTAGAGCGCTGCTTTGCTGCTGCTGCTGCAGCAACAGCTCCCGAAGCTGCCAAGCTCCTCAAGTAACTTGGGCTGCTGAAGGGCAGAGAGCAGAGAGCTTCCTGCCTTCGGGAACAAAGAAACAGCCACACACTAGTCTACAAACCTCTTCCTCCTCCTGCCTCCTCACGGCCTAAACTGTTCTCCCTCCTTCCTCCATCCAAGTAGAGATGAACTTTCAAGAGCAAACTGCTAACACAACAGTCTTCGTGCTACCTTCTGTAGACATTCAGCTAAGCTCTGCCTGACTCAAGGATGAGAATTAATAGCCTTTTGTTACCTCAAGTGAGAAGAAATCAGTTTCACTGAAAAGTCTCAAGTAGGCTGTGATAAAGCTGTCCATATCATCCATATATCCCTGTATACTTCTGTGCATCTACTCTGTCAGAACTTCAATGACAAATCTTCACAGTAACTAAGCTTTAGTGACTCCTGTGCTATTAAATCTTTCTTTTTTTCCAATCGTTTCTTCCAACTTAGGCTCATGGTTCTTGTTAAAAAAAAAAAAAAAAACACATCAGAACTGTTTATGATGGGATTTACTCCCCAGGTAAGTATTTTTAAACCAGAAATGAAGAACCAGCATGAGAAACAGCAGGTAAGAATGTCTTAGCTTTGTTCCCATGTAGGCTACGGATTTCTTGTTCTATCTTGATGATATTGCTTACCTGGTATATCACACACTCAACCTGGAAAACATGAAATCAAGATACTTCTAAAGCAGTCAAGACCTACAAGGAGAAGTACACCAAGTGCAAGTATTATTGGTGCACTTTTTGATGCTCCAAGTACAGAACCAGCCATGAGCCTTGCTTATTTAGGCCAGAAGCTGGTAACATCTTAACCTGTTCTAGTAATTCTTCTCAGGGATTAGAGAAGAGCTTCCTGCCTATGCTGGAAATTGGGACACCAATCAACCACTCAGATACTGTCTGATTTGGAAAGTATTTTTGTGTTCAAAATCCATTTACAGGTTTTTTCTTCCATGACCAAGTAAGTTAGCAAACATTCAAAAAGACGCACAGTTCCTGTTTACACAAACTGAAACAGTTTCAAACCCGAGATAACAAGTTCGTTCACATGCCAAGTGCAAGCCGATTCAAAGCCAAAGAGTAACTGAAATGTCTGAGCCACAGTTTTATCCCAAATAAACGAACACAGTCATTAACAAAGATAGCAGATAATTCCTATTTCCTGGCATTTGTCCCTGCACCCAGGATTAAGAAAGGGTTACACAAAGGATGATACACAGAACACCTTAGAAAGAGTCTCCTTGAAGTGCAGCAGGTTCCTCCTGCAAAGGATGTCATTGAGCTGGCTTAACTGAAGCACTGAGCGGCTGCACATGCTTCGCATGTGGCAGAGATGCTGAAGAAGGGAACCTACCATCACATTTCCTAGTTATTATAATGACCCACGAAAACAGCATCTGTCACAACGCATACTGAAGTTGTAAGAATATCATGGATCAGTAGTTGGAGATAAACAAAAATTCATGGTCCAAAGAGATACACACATCTTTGCCTCTAGTTCAGTATTACTAGTTCAGGAGAAATGGTGTTAAAAATATGAGTTGCTGCCAGCAGATGAAGGGGTACAGCACCATCCTGACTAAATCTTACATTAGCACCATGGAAGCTACCAATCTCCATAACAAAGTAGGCAGCAGAATTTAGGATGTGGATTAAGTGCAGATTATACAGGATACAGCACAAAAGGCTACATATCAGCCAGACACAGGTAGTTCTATTTTTTTTTAATAGTGATTAAACCAAAGTTAAGAAGTTAAGATCAACTCAGTGACAGCACATTTCAATGCCAGTCACCCTGTCAGTCACCATTCCTGACCCAGTATCAGGCCCATCACTCACCAGCTATTGGCATTTTCTCCACGGTGAAATGCAAACTATTTTTTTCCCTTCCATGCAGAAGGACCTGATTAAAACCCATTAAATAAAATTTAATACCTTGACAGAACAGGAGAAATAGCTGAAATAAGCTCATATGGCCAATCTGTTCTCGTGCAACTGGAAACTTGTTCTTAGCAGCTCAGGCCAATCCAGAGCTTTTCCAGGACTATACCCTGTACGGCTCGAGCAAATTCCAAATATTTGCTGCCAGCTCTGGAACCTTCCTCACAGCAGCCTGCCACTCACTTGCTAACAAAACTTGGTAGCAAACAAGTAAGCTCATAACTAGCTAAGACCTGCAGTAGTACAACCACAAAACCATAAGAAAAAGCCCATGCTACGTTTTTCAGAGCACTGCTTCACGGGAAATTCTGTCAGTGGCGCTGCCAACTTAAATAGCTCCCATGCTCACCTATGATACATGATGAATCAGACTTGGAACTAATCCATGCTCAAAACAGCTCCTTTTTATTGTTTTCTTTTAAACCAGATCAACTCCCTAACCTGGTATACTGTACAACACATTTGCACAAGCATGTCTGAGCAGCGCGAGGAACAGATGACAAGTAGCTGCTTCAGTAGCCTCTTCCGAAGCCTCTTCCTCTTTCTGGAAGCATTTATGGTTTCTCTTGCAGCACGCTCTATACTTCCTCCTCAATTTACATGTAAGAGGCCATTTCCACAGACAGGGCAGCCTTCTCTCCAAGTGGGGCATCCCCTTCATTCACACCTATGCTGAACTTCATCAAGTGGCTGGGTAGGTAACATTTCTATGCAGCTATCATCTCATTACTTTTCACATTGGAGAGGGAAAAAAAAAAAAAAAAAAAAAAAAAGTCAAGTAATCTTACAGGACCACTCCCAATGAGGAAACTGTGACATAATTATTTAGATTTAAAGAAATCCTGCTACACAAATAGCTTTGCAAAATTCATTACCAAGAAGGAACCTTGTTCACCACCACTGCACTTAAGTGTGTTAGATCTTTCCAAGAACTTCTTTATGTAACTGCCGGCAAAGAGCCAACTGAAGACAAACATCAGCCCTGGCTATTTCACCACCTGGATTACACCTGTCCTGATTCGCTCCAGGCTTAAGTCAAAATATTTAGGAAAGTGTCCATCACCAACACAGCTGCTACAGTGCCCATACTTACAATCAGAATATTGATCTAATTAAAACACTAAAGGGAGGCAGCGACTCATTTTAAGGGGACTTGCCCTGAAATGTGTGTACAAAGCATCTTTTTCTGTAGAACTGGAAGTGAAAGTTATGAGAACAACCAGCCTTCCTGTTTTCCTTACATCACTTTAAGCCAAAACCTAGCAGCAGCACGAACTGGAAACTACTAACTCCATAACAGTAAAACTAAAGTGGAGGGGCTAAAAGAATGGTAGCAAAGGGAAACAAGATATGACTTATTTGATATAAACATCCTCTATAGTAGAAATAAAAAAGGCTTATTTAGAACAACTAGCAGAATGATTCTGTCAGTTTAGAAATAAGAGAGACAGAAGAACAGTGGGACTGGGGGAAATCACCCGACTGAGGGGTCACCTTTCAATCGATTCCTGACAGCAAACAGTCCTGATGTTAACTCGGCCTCAAAAAGCGGCCAAAAGAACTTGTACCATTTGTGCTATCACACAGTGTACTGCTAAACCCTATTCCAAATAAACATTTGCTCCTGTAAATAACTGATGTTCAGAGATAAATCATTGCTTGAAATTGTATTCCCCAAACTTCTCCGGTAGCAAAGCCAGTTCCAAACTTCCTGTCCTCCCCTGCAACAACTGCTTACTCTTACTTAAAACATATTCCTGGGACAGAGGAAGGAAAACCAGTTGACAATTACTGGCTGCTTCATTAAGTTATCAGTTATTACACATGGGTGGTATAAACAACCATACTCGTCATATGTGTTCAAATCACGTCACATATTAAACCATTAAACCACACACTGACGGCTCCCACCATAGGTGCTGACAATAAGCTTCAGGCAGAGGACTCCATGGTAACAAAAATAGAAGAGAAAAAAAAAAGAAGAATTAAAAAAAAAAAGATACCTACCTGGTAAAACTGGGTTTCATTTCTTTGGTCTTTCATCTAGACAGAAGGCATCCTGTACTGTGTACAAGCCAATCATGGCTTACTACTATTAATCAGGATGATAAACACTAATCCAAAGATGGAGAGTAGAAGAGCTGTTTACTTCACTCCTTACTCCATTGCAATCCAAATAGGGAAGCAAAAGAGCCAGTAGGAAGTAAAAGGGCCAAACACATCACTCCATACCTGTATCTAGAGAATTGCTGGGGGAATTGGATGAGAACATAGCCGTTCTACACGCTAAATTATCTGTTATCAACAGCTTCAGTTGCATCTTTTCAACTCCTTTAAGAACGTCTTGGTGCTACAAGCCACATCTCCCTGGGCAGTAGCTCCAGCCTCAGCACAGCTACTGGAGTTCAGAACTTCCGCACCGTATCCCCTCTGCGCTCCGCAGAGGCCACGGCGCGCTGCAGGGGAGGAAGCGTTTCTACCTGCAGCACCAGCAGGCCCCGTTGGGGTGAACTAATGGCTTCTGACTGGGTGAATCTGCAGTTCCAGCTAAGCCTGGGACACGCACAGAAGAGCACTGCGACCCTGGCTTCCAGTGTTATTTAGATTATGTATTTCAAGCAGCAACTGAAATATGAAGTTGAATTTAATAGAGTAATAGACATTTGAACTACTTATCATGTTGATACCCCTCTGCTTATTACACTTAACTGCATGTGCCTGTGTAAAAGGGGCAGTAGGAGACGAGGGGAGAAAAATAAATGGGCTTTGCTGGCAACAGAAAAAAACATAAATACTAGAAATGTCAATAATATTCTTTCCAGTTACGTCTGGATATTCCTTAAGACTTTTGGAAGCCAGCAGGCACCACCCTCGTGTTAAAGAGGGATGCAGGATCATCCAGGATCAGAGCTGACTGTACACAGCCTGCACTTCAGCATTGCAAAATAATGTTTCCTTGATACTCCGCCTGGCCGAGGCTCAAGGCACCATAACGAAGGCTCTACCTAGATTAACTCCTTATGCCACAAAGCTCCACATGGTCACAAATAAAACAGACTTGAGAATGACCTTTCACACTTACAAGCATAGGGAGTGATCGGGTTTTTGGATGACTAAGCATATACAAGGAAGACGATCCTCTGATGCATGCATGCAGGGGCACACAGGAGGGAAAAAAAATAATGAGAGCTTAAAACCTGTCATCTTGACTCAAGTCATGAAGCAACAGTTGGTGGTGCTAAACTAGGATCGCACAACACAGTCCACTATTTTTTCTGTCTCACTGCAGGGTACTGGCCAAAGCAGATGGACACAGCAGCGGGGCTGGACTAGGTGAACTCTAGAGGTCCCTTCCAGCCTCAACCAGTCTGTGATTCTGCGACACGCTACCAAGCAAACGAAGGGCCAGAAGGAGCCATGAGCCATGTCTCTGAGCTATGCCACGTGCTACCCAGCTACACGTCACATCCGAGCAACTAAGAGGCAAGAACTCTCTGAAGTTGCTACTTGTGCCCCTTCACTTGCCTGGCAGCTTTCAACTCCTGAACCTCTCAATAGGATGAGAGGGGAGAGTGAGGAAAGTAGCACAGAAAGAGAGACTGTGGAAACTGCAGCATCTGACACAGCAGCAGAAAGGCAGAAGATCACGCAGGGCTTGTTACAGCCTTAAATTCTAGTGAAAGTCACCTTTTTGCCTACGCAGCACCAAGCTACCCTACATATGTAAGAGGTTAAGAGTCAGCACTGCTCATTCCCGTACTAGGATGTAACCCTGGTGCCAACTCTGCACAAGGGAAGAAAAGAATGTGTTTTTAAAAGCAGAAAGGAGGGGTAAGAACATGCAATACAAGCACAGAGAAGAGAAGCAAACATTGAAACAACTCCTCATTTGGAGGGTTAGAAAAACTCAGCTGGAGTTGTGGTGTTGAGAACAGAAACATAATTCAATGTAGACAAGCTACAAATTTTAAAATCCATCTACTCCTTTAAAATGTAAGATCACATTTTAGATAGAAGAGACTCTCCACAGGAAGGTGACTAAAAGGCTGTCTTCTGGACATGGTTGTTTTTTAGAGGTTTTCACTATATACCTCACACATCACAGGCTGATCTATCATTCCAAATCACCCGTAGCATTACTGCAGTTGTACCCTTTGTTGTGGTCAGGGAGAATATACTCCCTCTTTCTGTATTCGCCCTTTTTTCTTTTCCTCAAATAACTTAGTTTTACTGTAAGCTACTATATGCGTAGATATGGGAACCATATCTGCTTACTTCAATCTAAATATTAAGTTGTCTCAGCAAGTAAGCATTAACAATTCTTACTTAAATTTATTGCAAAACACAGCATTTCCTGGTTAAACAGATTGCATAATCCCTTATTAACCCTCTGACTGGAATTGGAGGTTCCTACGTTTTTTGAGAAGTTTCTAGACACCACACACAATTAAGAAGGTATCAATATTCTTTAATGATTCCTAAGCATTTACGATGAAAAGGTCTCCCTCAGCGGGCAAGTACTGCCAACCAAAAGTATCTTCAGATGGTGCACACGTTGCCAGTGTACAGCTAGTATTTGTATGCACACAGATACCTTGGGAAAGCTGAATATTTCTGTATTTGACAGCTCACTCTGAAGTCAAGGGAACACACTTGTCCTATAAAAAGATCACAGGTTAATGGTTGCCCTTGGCATTTCTACCACTCCAACATCAACTTTGTGTGTTTATAAAGGTCTTCATCACTTAACTCAGGCTGATGTAATTAATCCTCCACCCAAAGATTTCCCCGCTGACCAAATCAAGGGTGTTTTGTATTGTTTCAGACTGTTTACCATGACTCCAGCTTCCCCATTAGCAGGTCACCTCCATACTGCACTGTCTTTCCCTGACAAAGGCAGCTCACATCCCATGACTCCATCACCAACAACCACATGCAAAAGAAACAAACCTGCAAACCTACACATGCAAACCTACAAGCCCTACCCAGACGATGCCAAGCAAGTGTCGTGGCAACACTGGCACCTCCAGAAGAGCAGCATGGACAGCGCAGCGTCGCCCTACCGAGTCTCAGTTCCAGCCCCCTGTGCACGAACCCCTACGTACGCGACCCCTCAACACTTCGGTGCAATGACCTGACCTCTACTCTTCCTAACGAGCACACGACACGCAGCATGCCTAATGCTGCAGAACCTCCCGTTCCC